TTTTCTTTTTTTTGCAGCTCCTTTTTCCGACCCGTTTTAGGGTTTAGGGTATAGGGTTTTCGGGGGTTTAAGGTACGGTTTAGGGTTTTGGGGTTTGAGGGTTTAGAGTTTCAGGGTTTAGAGTTTCAGGGTTTAGGGTTTTAGGGTTTTAGGATTTAGGGTTTTAATGTTTGGTTTAGGGTTTTAGGGCTTAGGGTTTGGTTTAAGGTTGAGGGCTTTCGATACTGCACCCACTGATAAACAGTTGAATACTATTTGTAACATAATTATATACAGCCCTCAACATGAACCCTTATTCTAGACTGGGAATGGGTGGGGGCAGAACCCAACACAAATCTGTCATAGGGTCTAGGGTCTAGGGATAATGTAAAGGATTATACTGGGGAAAATGGGAAAAGAAAACGGAAACTACAATTTAGGGTTTAGGGTCTAGGTATACTGTAAGGGGATTGCGTTGCGATATGGGGATAATGGCAAAATGAAAACTACCATTTAGGATTCAGGGTTCTTTAGTTTAGGGTCTGGGGATAATGTAACTAGGGGGATTATATGCGGGGACATAGGGATAATGGAAAAGAACATGGAGACTGCTATTTTGGGTTTAAGGTTGAGGGCTTAGGGTTTAGAGATATTACCCCTCCAATAATGGAACATCAAATGTTAAAAGAAATGGACAGTCGCATGGAAACTTGGATTATGTAGGGGATTACGGGGTGAGGGTTTCCCCAAATTAGGGAACGTTCTTTTTGGGGGGTCCTATAATAAGGACGTAATATTCTGGCGTCTTTTTTTTAGTCCCCCTATTTAGGGAAACTACCAAATTAGTTTACACATGTTTACACGGATTCTACGGGTCGCGTCCCCCTTTTAGATAATGAACCCCGCCCCTAACAATCTCTATTTCCTCTGACGCATACGTGAGGGTACTGTGTTGGGAATTATATAGTATTAGTTGGTGGGTGGTTTGTTATAAGGGGAGGTGATTCAAGACTACAAGGGCACTATATCATACATATATGGCACATCTTTGCGTAGATGAGTAGACTATACCAGCAAAGACCTCTGATTGCTGGCACTCTGGGCCCCTGGGCATCACCCTGAGCCAGAGACTGTGTTCCTATGTACAAGAGCCCCAGTAGCACTGCTGTCTGTGAAGCAAACATTAACGCATACATATATGTATATATAGCTTCACATAGATAAACAAAGGTATGCATACATTTGGCGATTGTTCAAGATGCTTCTCGAGAAAATCGCTAACTTTCGCGGAAAAACATGTTTTTGGAGTGTTCTTGCGCGGAGCCTAACTTTCAAGTGGTCACCGAGAGTAGAACTGGAAGACAGGGAACTTTAGAACAACCCTCATGTATGTTTCTCGGGCCTTTCCCATTTCAACAGTTCTCGAAATCCTGCGTTTGCTTTCTTGGGGTATCGTGTGTAGTGCGGCAACTACTATGTTGAGCATGGAAATAGGACTCTGATCTTTTGTAGACTATGCGTTTGGCTGAACTAACGAACGCAAAGCTCGTGTCTAAATCAAGCTAAGTACGGGTCATGCTTCCCCTTCCAGTCGTGCCAAAATTTATTGGTGCCCTACGGCCCCCAAACCAGGGATAGCTATGAATGGTAATTGCCCGGTCCTGGAGGGCACCTCTGGACGGTAGGCTCTTGAGAAGATGGGCCAAATGCCGCCACACATTGCCCTGTGGCATCCTCAAAGAGTGCCAAGCGGAAAAAAGTCCTGCTGCATCCGTAGTACCCCCTAGATCCTAGGAACTGCAGTACTTTAAAGGCACTAGATGGTGCAAGCCTTTCTCCATGGACAACGTCAACTTAGGCAAAGTCAGAAGTGAGTTCTTACCTAGAGCAGCGCTGTAGGGTCCAGACCATGATGTACCACTCACCCGGTTTGGCCGTGGAGTTCATCGTGGAGTTCATGGGCTGCGATGCGAAAAGCCAGACGACCCCGTTCACGAAGGAACTGGAGCAATTGCCTTCGCTGTTCCTCTTGACCGATCTCCATGTTTCAGTCATAAATACTCTTACAGGCTGCGGGAGACATCTCGACAGGCATGATATGTCCGAATGTCACCTTACAAAGAAACTGCCCTCTGAGTAGGAATCCTGTCTGTGCATAACATATTGAATCAGATTGAAACATCTTCATTGAAAGCATATCGGTTTCGGAGCAACCTGCTTGTTCATCCCAAGTCAGCCAAGAGCATTGCCCGCCAAGACGCATAGCTGCCCAGCGACTGTGCAATTCAAGCCCAAGCCTCCAGCCCATTCCAGGTGCTACTGATAGCAAACATGGCTCCAGCATCTTGTTCATCGTGAGCCACGCATCCTTCTTAATTGCCGACCAGCCGCTAGCTTGAAGCGACTCATTCTCCTATGGTCAGGGCCGACTGAGTGGAAGCAAGCGACTAACTCAACAGAAACAATCTGACACAACTCCACTTCTGCGATGACACCGCGATATCTAATGCCTGAGAGCTATGACCATCAGTCATCAAGCACCTCCAAAGAAAATTCTCGGGGTGACATACTGGTTGGGGTCGACAGGGGGATGTATATGCTTGGGCTAAACGCTACGCGGGCAACGTCGTCTCCTTGGTCAGGACTTGGCAGACATAGGCGTGGGCACAGGACAGCAGCAACAAGTTCGCTGCAACCTCCGGGACATCCATCGGCACACCCCAGAATGTCTTGCATTGATCACGACAGGCTGCGGGAAATCCCGTGCCTTGATCATGATGCCCATGGTGGCTCAGTATCCGATCATAAGCAGCATCGCAACAGCATCTTGTGTGCTGAGAATCTGTCTTTGTTGCGTTGTATGTACATCTTGAGGTATAAAGCACAGCTTTTGATGAATTTGTCATTGTGCCAAGTAAATGAGATACAGGGTTCCAAGGTATCATCGTGGCTGTGCTCAGGACTATTCAGGAGCCTTAACTTGCCGTAGATTTTGGATGGCTCGCTTGCCTGCAAGAGCCAGATGGCTTCACCAAGACGCTCTCGGGCTATAGGTTGGTGCAGGCCTTGGACTGTGCAAGCCTGGCCATCATGAGGGCAACGGTCCTGTGGCCATCCATAAAACCTTGAGGCAGGCCAGTTTTTAGCTCGCCTTGCAGTGCAGTTTCTGAGCACATCCCCATAGTGCGCGACGCTTATCTTACCTCTCTGAGCAGGTGACCTTCCTGGTTAACATGGTTCCATGAAGAGAAGGAAGTCTGCCGATAGCATCAAACTTAACAGAGCAGGCATCAGAATTCTTGCTGTTGACAATGCCGCGTGGTAAAGAGCTGAATTACAGCGCCTTATGAAACCAAATGAAGTAACTTTCCCCAGTCCTGCGTTTGCAGGACGCTCCTGGAATTTGAAGCTGGGAAGTTGCTCTCTCAGATGGCCGCCGAGTTATACGTAGCTGTCCTTCGCATCATGCAGCGTGCAACCCTCAACAGGCCCTCGACCTGCGATTGAAATGGTGCGGCATTTGTCAGCGGGTACTCACACTGAGATTTCAGAGAAAACAAAACAACTTCAGCATGTGCCAGAACCTTCATTCCCAAACACGGAGCCTATGTGGTCTGGATCATCTCCAGCATTAACAAGAAAGCAAGGTCCTGGATCAAATCCAGCTGTGCTGTCAGGCCTGCCTTCATGACAGTCCTGAGTTCGGGTTTGGGATCTGTGTTTTGGGGCTCTTGTCTTTACAGTTTTCGGGCTCGGGCTCAGAGGCTTTCGTGCGAACTGCTTGCAATGTGCGCATTTCTTCATTGTTCTGGTGAACTCGATCTGGGATCTCAATCTGGGGACTCCACTGTTTGGGATTTGCCCCGAATCGCAAGGTCTTTGATTGAAGAACCCCCGCCAGGTGCTTTCTACCAGCTCCCTGCCACATACTTGCCCGAGCAGAGTGCTAAGCATCGGGCTTCAGGTAGTAGGAACTTAAATTAAGTTACCATAATGGGTATATATAGTAAATAATAGGGTTTCCCCAATATAGTAACTTAATTTAAGTTCCTTACATCCCTATATTCCACCAGGTTCCATTTCATTTTCCATGCTCTTCTCCATTTGATTCTCCATTATAGGGGATAATCCCTTAATTCAAGTTACTTAACAGCAACCCAGGAGTGCTAAGCATCGGGCTTCAGGTAGTAGTAGCCAAAGTCTCCCAGCAGCAGCATGTGCAGGGCGTGGGCCCCCAAGATGACCTTTAGGGATAATGGAAAAGAAAATGGAAACCCTAGGTCCCTTTAAAGGGATATATAGGGTTATATAGGGGTTATATAGGGATAATGGAAAAGAAAATGGAAGCTACTATAATGAGATATATTAGGGTCATATCGGGGTTATATTGGGGTTACATTGGGGTTACATTGGGGTTATATTAGGGTTATATTGGGGTCATGTAGGGATAATGGAAAAGAACATGGAAGCTACTATAATGGAGAATCAAATGGAAAATGAAATGGAAACTTATAGGGGTTATATAGAGGTTAAAGGGGACTACTATAGGTGTTATAATGGAGAATCAAATGGAAAAGAAAATGGAAGATGAAATGGAAACTGTGGTTATATAGGGATTATATACTGAACAGCTCACATGCGACAACCTTGAGCTATCACAGCTGGTAGCAGACAGGGTCGATGCAAAGAGGCAGTGTACCTTCGCCTGTATCTAGACATTTCTCACATTCATGGGTCGTTTGGGGCTCAATGGAACGAAGGGCACTAGTTTCATCTAGCACTGGGTAAAAGGAGATCCTGGCTGACAAAGTACTCTTTGGCCCCTGGGTGTCCAGCCCAAATGGCGTGGTTGAAGCCGGTCACCCATGGATCGCATGTGATGTCGAAGCGAGCATGCCACATAAAAACACCTGAGCGTTGAATCCTCTTGTAGAACCGGAATGTTTACTTCCCAGCTTTGCAGCGGGATCCTATGGAATACAGAACCCACTTGCTTTTGAGATCCAGATAGTCCCCCTTAAAAGAACCTGAGTTGCAGAAATAGATCTTCCACACAGTTCTTTTTAATTGTTCGGTTTTTGCTTGTGTCATACGCTTATCATCTTCTCATGGTTGGGTCGAGCATTGACCAGCGTGTAAGCAACCGAGGCATCTGCCGCTCAAGGCGCGACTGATGGCCATCGCAGCAATGTAGTGACTGGTCAGCGGCCTTGCTAAAGGCTAGCAAAAAGACAGTTACAGCACCAATGATCACCCTTGTACCAGCAACAACTGTAGCAAGAACATCAACAAAATCATCATCGACAGCAAAAACGGTAAGTCACACTCAGAGCACTGCAGTTCCCACAATCCAGATAAACGTGCTCATCAGCGTAAAGATGCAGCAAGATACCGTCTTTGCTATGCTAATGGCGGCACTAGTCGCCCTGGGAGTTGCGATAGTAATTATCCTAGTCATCAAGTGGTGGCGGTAATGGCAAGAGCCAGAACACTTGCATTCACTTTCAATAGTATACGCTGACAACACTTTTGCACTCCTGAAGTCTCCTTGCTTGCAGTAGTGTTGCAGTCACACGCTGTCCGTTTGCGCGGACTGCTGATACTCAAATCCTGCATGACGGTGCACTATACAAATTGAACGTGATTGTTACTATACTATGAGGGATACTACGGTTCCTATTTGTCCTAGTAAGACAACTCCCCCCCACAATGGGTTAAGTTGCTACATCAAGGAAACACCATTGAGTGAGTGACTGAGTGAGTGAATGAGTGAGTGAGCGACTAGCTGCATACGGCTGGACGTGCAGGAAGCCATGCCGAGGGCACCGACCGCTCCCGGCCTTTAAGGGCGCTCCGCAAGCGTTCTTGCCCCCTCCACTTGGAGTTCACGCTGGCGAACGCCCCAACCCAGGAAGCAACGTTCCGGAGCCAACAGATGGCCCGGTTCAGCAAGAGCGTTCGCTTGCAGACGCCAAGCGCAACAACTAGGCAGGCCCGCCACCGGCAAAGCCGGTATAAGGGCAAGACGGCGTGCCATCCTCGTGGAAGTTTTTGCGTAAGGGCTCTTCCCCTGCCTGTCCCGTGTCAGGGTACGAACCCAAGCAACGTTGCCTCTACATCGGGCTGTGCCCGGCCACGTGCCAATGTTGGCGAGCATGCTTCTCTGCAGATCCCTCAAGAGATACTAAGTGCAAAGCGCGACCTGTGCGGCACCTTTCCATAGTACTCACGCAGTCACCACCTTTTTGGATAAGGGGATTGAATGACATAATTCCATCCACGCCCCCCCACAAGCAGGTCATATGACAGTACACCCTCGGATTGAACAGGTGAAGGCCAAAGCTGTGACCGACACCTGCCTCGGACGGGGGGGGAGGAAACACAATTGTTTACTATAAACACTAGTAACGTAGTTCAAGTTCCTTGAAGCAACCCACAAGGGCCGCCAGTTCTCACTCAACATGATAAGGAATCCCAATATAGATCCCCAATACTAGGATCCTTGTTATAACAGAAGGGACCCCCAACATGGTACCCCTAATCTTTGGAAACTCCCAATATCTTAAGCACCCCCGTTATCACTCTAAATAGTAATATTAATAAAAAAAAAAAATAATAGTAGTAATTATAATGATAATAATAATAGTAATAGTTATATTGGGATAATGGAAAATCAAATGGAAGCTACTATACTGGGCTATATAGGGATTATAAACCCTAACCACTCAACAGTCCCATGGGTCGCAGGCTCAACCTTGCCACCGGTCTTGGAGATAAGCCAGAGCTGGCGACGAGGCGAGTCAGAATATCATTCCCAAGTTCAGTTTAGGGTTTAGGGTTTTGGGTTTAGGGTTTAGGGTTTTGGGGTTTTGGGGCTTAGGGTTTGGGGTTTTGGGGTTTAGGGGTTTTGGGCTCCCTTTTTGTGGATCCCTACAAGAAAGACTATAGCATTTGGGGGTCTATAGTGGGCTCCACCTAAGTTGGGAAACTACCATACAGGGAGAATGGAAAAGGACTAGGAAATTACTGTTTAGGGCCTTTTATGGTTTAAGGCTAAGGGGGATATTATTCCCAATAGTGGAAAATCAGACGGACAATGAAATGGAAAGTGGCTAAGAGGAACATATTGGAAGGGAATAGTACCCCAATAATGGAGAATCAAATGCACACCTGGTTTATGTAGTAGTAAGAACGAATGTGCTGGAGACGCGAGCATATTATTAGAATAGCGGTATTTAGTGCTGCGGGGAAATTGAGAGCTCTAAAGCTCCGAGAGTATGAAACAGGTTGTGAAAGAGCACCAAGATAAGGAGTCTGAGAGCAACTACAAGAACAGCGCTCAAAAATGAGAACAGCACTTGCAAGTTGCAGAGCAATATTAAGTTGAGGAATGAAGATGATGATAAGAATTATGAGGGAAGTGAGGGCGTTTGCTGTCTCTCAAGTCTACGATGGCAAACAACTCTTCCTCCAGCTTGCGTGCAACATGTCCCGAAAGAATCTAAGAAGGACTATGGCGGAGCATCCATCATCGGATTTGCTCTGGAAGTTAACCGGACTTGCAGAGGTTGTTGCATGTTCCGGTTGAACGCTTTTCACAGCACGCGAAGGCCTGCGGCAAAACTGCCACGGCACTGATGAAGAGGCCTTCTTGCAAACAGCATGCATAGCTCTCTGACCACAGATTCCGATTGTGCATGTTGAAGCCCAAGCACCCTGTCTCGCATCTTACAGTGCAGCTTTGCAGCAGTGGAAGTGGTTTTCACTACGAAGCATCATATGACCCGCCTACCCCGGTCCGAAATTGAAATAATGCCATCAAATATTCAGATCCAATGTTGCCACCTTTGCTTTGTTGTGTCCGAACCTGCCATCCACAGAGTGTCGAAGACGGGTCGGGCGTTCATGTCCTGAGAGACCGTACATGACTCTGCAGCGCGCATTGTGCGTCCACTTGGGTCCTACATATCTCGTGCACCACTTGCCCATTCAGCATCATTGATAGGATCTTCAAGTGCAACACAATGATTCAGACTATTTTGTGTGATGACTGACATGAAAATCCAGATCTGCTACAGCATGTCTGAAATCCGATCTGGCCTCATTATTCCACCCTAAAGTTTTTTCACATTGATCATATGAGCTACAGTGTAGTCTAAACTCCGTATCCCCCTTAAGAACCCCTTTAATACTCCCCTATATGACCCCCTTAAAGGAGTTTGGACTGTAGCTTATGTTGCCTACTCTGCGAAAACGGTCGGAGGATCAAGATCTGCTTCGCCCAATGGACATCACGACCACTCATCTTTGATAAGGTTTAGGCCTTTGGGGTTTTGGTGTATTGGGATAATGGATAATAAAATGGAAGCTACTATTTAGGGTTTAGGGTTTAGCGCATAATGGTACAAATACCTTCTTACAGACTGGCATTGAGGGACCCAGTGATCCACACTCACTTCGGGACCCGGCGGCATGAAAGAGCGCTGCCATCACGAGGCAGGCCAGTACCTCCCATTAGAGGACTCTGCTGGGCCTATCATGATCATAGCTCATGTGCCCAGTTGCCAAATCAATTTCCATGTTCTTTTCCGTTTGATTTCCAGTGATTGGGACACTATCCCTGAATCTATGACTTTAGAAGCCCTCCCATTAGCCCCAGTCAGATACTCCTAAACCTTCAACCGCTGTGTTTTTCAAAGAGCCGTGGCAGGCCTCATCTCTCAGATCTGGGGCCTTCTCAAAATATCGGGATAATGGAGAATCAAGTGGAACATGCTATGGACACTGGATTTTCACAGAGTTGAATCTAGGGTTTCCCCGTATTTAAGGGGGCTGTAAGAAAAAGGGTTATAGTATGCTGGGGTCTATATTGGGGTCCCCCTGCTTCTGTGAAACTACTACCATTAACACCAACCTGCGAAAGTCTACCGCGCAGCAGCTCAAAAGAAAGCACTCCAGCAGCATTATCAGGGCACGACAGGAGTTGCAGGGAAGGTGTCCTGACTCAATGCACTGGACAATCCAAAGCCAACACGCTTTGAAACTTCTAGCCTGCATATGAAGTGCCTCTGCAGGTGTGGTGAAAAGTAAGGAAACCTTTTTGGTCCTGGAAACAGGACGCCGCACAGGAGTCGAGTTTGTGACGCTGCCGAAAGACCAAAGAGACCCATTGTTATTTGGACGGCAATGCAATTCGCAGGATGTCAGAAGGCATGCTCATAAAGAGCTGCGAACCGGTCCTGCTCTTCCTGGTACGTGTGCTTCTTCTCCAGCAACAGTGAGTGCCTTTGCTTCCCCGCAGTGGCAACACCAGATTGAGCTGCTCGATCCTATTTAGGCAGCCGGGGAAGATAGGAAAGACGCCTCTGCCAGTGCTGGACTTCAAAGCAGTTCACTGAAGACGCCATTCTCTTGAACCAAGTGTACCTTCAAAACTTGAAAAAGTTGGGCTGAGAAATTACAAGAATAAAGCGCTTCGTCTCAGCCTTTGCTCGAGTTCGAAACAAATACACTATTCTGCATGCCAGGATTCAAGAGCCAAAGGACCAGCACAAGGGCAACAACGTCCACTGCCTGCCAGAACGAGAGACATTGCAGTTGAGACCTTCTTCGTAGGCAACTGCCGAGCCCATGCTGCGCATTAACAAGCACTGCCACAAAATCCCACTCAGGCGCTCCCATACCAAATACGGCAAAGAATGTGGGCCCTTAGAAGTCCACGCGACTCCATCAAAAGACACTCAGATAGGCTCAGCCACATCAACGGCTCATCACCATGCTTCACCATGTTAGGGCAGGCTGCGCGACCAGGACTGCGCAGCATGAATACTACAAAAACTAAACACACACCTGCCCAAGCCCTACAAAGATCTCATGCTTGATCCTGACTCAAAAACTCAATGTAAAGCTAAAGCTGGGACGCCATCCTACATGGAACAACACTTCCTGCTCGCAGCCGCAACCTACAACCGAGGCATATGTGTCAAATGTTGCTGCAGACGTGCTACTTTTGTTGACATATTGCGACCATGCGTATCAAATGGCTGATCCTGACTGAAGACTCATCACCGGCTTCAGCAAGCCATGCATGAAAGTCTTTCGTCATCCTTTTCACAACGCCCAAGTCGACTGATGCAAATGTGTCCACATGTTGCTGCGAA